TTATGACCAGTTGTTCAGCAACCATTTAAAATTATGAAGACATCCCCAGAGCCACTCACAATCCAGATTTGAAGTTTCAGTGGCTGCCCCACTCTCACAGTCATGCTGGGGTGCTTGGTATCTGGCCCACATTTACACATGTCTTCAGTATCCTGTTGTCATATGACATATATATGCATTCATTGCAGACAATGGGTTCACTTACAGACTATGGCATTTGCTTAACTACTGCAATGTGTGCATAATGACCGTGGCATTCACTTTACCACTGCCACAAGAATGGTGATAAAATTGGGCATGGACCCACAGTGACCCATTTAATGACCTGCATGAGTTACAATCATAATTCTGGACAAAGTTACAATAATAAATCAAGGATTACTTGTGATCCATGAAAATGATCCTGCAAGCAAACTAGAAAAGCACTTAGCGCTCTCCAGCAACTTTACATTCTGGCTGAACTCCAGTGATGGATTTGTATTTTGCATTCACTGAAACCAGCCAACTGAAAGCAACCTTCTTATTGGCAAAATATGGCAGAAGTCTTCTAAAAACCATGGTCTCTGTTGATGGGAGTATCATATAGACATAAATAAGAAAATGTTCATGATTTTATAATGTGAATCTGAATTCTGCATAATGATATAATTTTACACACAGACACTTTGTATTTGTTCTTACAGCAATATTTTGAACACAAGTTATAAACAAGCTAGGATATTACAGAGACTTCTCTATTGTTTTGTTCAAGGTTGAAATTCTCTGTTGGAATTTGCAGTCAGAAGGCAAAAACAATGTGCCATTATTTGTAATGAGTCAGGAGTCAAATCCAAGAGGTCTTACAGACAGAGCAGGTGAAATCAAGGGCTGGAAAAGTAAATCAAGGGAGTCAGCTAAGGTCAAAAACCAGCATTTTGAAATCCTCTCAGCAAACCAAATAACAATTCAGGTTCAAACAGTAAAAACAGTCAGAAACAGCACCAAATTTGAAAAATTAAAATGAAGCATCTCCTTATTTACAATTATTCTTAGATCAAACAACAATGTTTCCAAGTCTCTTCCTTTCTAAAGAGAATTATCAGTATAATCCATGATACCTATTATAACTTACATAAGCATCAGATCTTGCTTATGTAAGATCCCCATTCAGCTAGTGACATGGAATATTTACTGTACTATCAAGCATTTATCTGATCTCTATGGGAACATTTCATTGCAGTAAAAGACTCATATATTACCTAATATAAATAGGAAACTAAGTTGCTTAATTTGGTTGTAAGAGGAGAACCATGTTAGTCTATGATAGCAAAAACAACAACAACAACAACAACAACAACAGCAACAACAACAACAGCCCAATAATCTGGTAGATCATTTTTTTTGCACTAACCAAAATTATTAAAAGGCTCTCTCTATATATAGCTGAATTTGTCAGATGATACAGTGATTATAAATAGAGACACTAAACGGCTGATGAAGCAGCTCATGAAAAAAATTTTCTGGAGGATACCCAGTCTCCACTCCTGGCAATTGCCTAGACTAGTCCCACAGTTTTCTTGGCAAAGTTTTCAGAAGTGGTTTGCTAATTGTCTCCTTCCTAGGGCTGAGAGACAGTGAATGGTCCAAAGTCACTCAGCTGGCTTCATGATTATGGAGGGCCTAGAAATCACAGTCTTCTAGCTTGATGCCTTAACCACTACACTGGCCTGGTTTCATACCATGAAAACTTATACCTTTTAATAGCATTTGTTTGTCAGAAAAGGTGCTATCGCATCCTGATTTTTCCCCCCATTAAATGTCCTATTGTTACAAAATGTAATATGAAAAAAATCTGCCAAAATGAATATATTCTTAACTCTAAAACAATTAGAGGTAGTAAAATTTTAATTAGAGGTAGTAAAAACAGTGAAAATGAAACAATATATTGTGTGGATTGCGTGGATTACTTATATATACATCCATTTCACCTTGTTCTATTTCTTGTGAAAATAATACCTTTATAAATATTAAAGCTTAAGTTTTGAACATTTTTTTAAAAAAAATCTGATTTTGTAGCACACATTATTTAAAAAAATAGTTAAAAGTGCATTTTAATAACATTAGAAATAAGGTGATACATTTATTTGTATATTGGAATAAAGAAATAAGTGCACCTATGCAATAAAATGTAAGTCTCATTGTCTCTCTTCAGTGATGGGGTCCTTGTTTGGGCAAAGGAATAACAGAAGAGGAAAGCAAATGCCATTTTTCTTCTTTCATGAGGCCATATACCAGGCAGCAGTTTGCTGTACTATCTTGGTGACCTCAAGCAGAACTGCCAAAAGTGTCACAGGAGAGGACAGACAAAAAGGATACAACATCAAAGCAGTGAATCAAAACAACTGTGAAATGGTGGCACTTTGCTTTTCTGCCTTTAGAAAGAGCACCTAAGATTCTTGTGACAGGAAAGACTAGAGGGCCAACAGGTTAGGGCTGGACTCTGTTAGTCCCTGCCCAAGGAAGGACTATGCTGCTCTGGCCTGAGAGAAAATAAAACCAAAACAAAGAAACTTGGAGCATCACCCTTTGTATCTCACACTTTGGATCTATCTAAACTTTACTTCAAGATACACATATTGTGTGTATAGAAATTATCTTGTAATTGGCGTGCCTGTGAATGAAGCCCACAGTTCAAAGATTCTGTTAGCACTTTGAGTTTATTAAAATCAGTTTTTGGTATTGAAAAGATAATTGGCTGATCACTGCCTACATTTTTAATTGTTATTCTTAACATTTTTATATGCCAGAATGGTAAATTAAGAATAGACTCAAGGTTGTCATTCTTTCCAGTTATGAGAAAAGCAAGCCAGGGATCACAGTGAACACTTTATACACTTAATATTCTGTAGTTGCACCATTCAGACCATTAAGGTCTATTGAAATCTAGTGGCCTACTGGAAACTCTTTCTAAGGACTATTGTTTGCATAGAGGTAGGTTAATTTCTTTTTGCTATTTCAGACTGTTGTTGGTTTCTTTAAATTTGTGCATTTTGGATTTAGCTTGAAAACCTGCACCAGGGAGGAAAGAAAGGAACGGCTGCCAAGACCCCATATCATCACAGCACACTGCAGACTTTTTTCCTCTTTTATTTTGTTCTACACACGTATGAACTGTATAATGGTTCCCTTTTCAGTGGTATCAACTTGGCATATTTAAGCATTCCTGGATTAGCTTTTCAATGTGCTCATGAAGCATTAAAGCTTTACTATGAGAAGCAGCTTGCTCTAACCTGTGGTAGAGAAATAGAATAATTTCAACCATGTCCTCTTCGCTAATAGGTTTTTTTTCCCCTATTTGAAATTCCTTTACACATTCCTTCCCCTGTTTCTTCCATAACTAAGCCTTGTATTATTAATAGTCAACAAATGTTTGGGTTACAAATTCACTTTTGAAGGGCTCTTTCAAAATATTATACAGAGATTTGAGCCAATTAATTCTGCTCTAATACTAAACAAATAAGCTAAATCAGAACTCAAGTCACTATCAAACTGGAAGATTAGAGAAACAGATCAGTGGTGAGATTCAATTTTTTTTACTACTGGTTCTGTGGACATGGCTTGGTGGGCATGGCAGGGGAAGGATGCTGTGAAATATCCATTCCCTCCCCTCTCCAGAGAAGGCTTATGCAAAATCCCAATTTCCTCTTGATCAGCTGGGACTCGGGAGGCAGAGAAGAGATGGGGCAGGGCCAGTCAGAGGTGGTATTTACTAGTTCTCCGAATTACTCAAAATTTCCCTTACTGTTCTACAGAACTGGTCAGAACCTGCTGAAAACCATCTCTGGAACTGAAATCTAAAGAAAAAATCAATAATTAATGCTTATAAATAAATAATGTCTGTCAAGCTGGTTAATTACACAGAGGCCAACAGGTTGGCAGGATTGAATCCACATATCAATATAAAACAAAAACAAAACATCTAAATAGAATGTATAAATTATTGTACATGGTCTTTCAGTTCAATAATAGACAAATAATGCATAGGTTAATATTTCTTTTCATGTAGGGCTTTAATCTTCATTAGATGATAGTATCTCCTAACTAGTTCAAATTCGCTTTAGAAAAGCATTATTAAGTATTATTACTGATCATGCTGTAAAAATTGATAAAGTCAAATAATACCCCAATTTGCTTTATGGACAATAGAAAGGCCTTTGGTTGTTTCTACCAGGGGTGGGTTCCTGCCAGTTCTAACCTCTTCTATAGAAGAGGTTCCACAAATCTACAGTGCCATTTAGAACCGGTTCCAGCTCCNAGTTCTAAGTTGCTTCTCTCCTTGATTAGTTTCCACCCACTGCTTCTTGTTCTACCCTCGGGTGCTTGGAGAATAGCTTGACTCCTTCTTCGTGGCAACCTCTGAGATATTGGAACACTGCTAACAATAATTGTTATTTTCTAAAGTGACAAATGGTGACCTTATAAATCACTCCCCCAATTAATACTCACCAGATAGGTTGGAATCCAACTCCCAAATTCCTTATGCTGGTTCATATTTGTTTGTTTTCAAATTGGGAAAGATTGCCTAACAATAATATTTAAGAATATGAAAACGCATTTGTCTAGTTTTTGTTGTGATTTCTTTGTTTATGACTATTTCTAGATTCGATTAAAAATTTACACTATATGCTACATTACAATGAAATCTACATTGGGTAAACGGTGTTATGAATAAGCTTGATATACCACAACATGCCTGATTACCTGTATTTTAGAACAGATTACTTCATTTTCACTTGAAACTGACCTGCGTATTAACGCATTACTCTAATTACATGATTTCAGACAGAGGAAATGGGTTTTGGCTCTAAGAGGCGGCAATTGCTGGAAGCAAGCTGAACTCTTTAAAGTACATCCATGGGTTTTAGTCTGCATAGGATGTGAGGCTTTAGCTTTTACGAATGACATTCCATTAATAGGTATCAGCCATCACTTTCTTCTTGTGTAAATAAAAACAAACCCACCTGTGGAGTTGAAAGCATATCCAAACTCCAAGAACACATTTTGCCATCTGTAGAAACGGTAATGAGATTGTGAGCGTTCTGTGTTCCAACGACATTTACACAGTAGACTGGATGCTGAAAACACACAAAATACACACAAAAAAAGTGTCGATTAAACGTTTTACAAACTATTCAGAGATTATGTGCAATGGAAACGGGATAGTTATTCAAGACTTCAGTCTTCTCCTTTTGCCAAAATATGATGAACCTGTATAAGATTCAAAAGTTTCCTTTCTCTCTGCTCCTTCCTGTTATGCTGTCATATCTAAATAAAATGATTATTACTATGAAAATATAGCATTACATAGAAGCATAGATTATATAGGTAGTCCTTGACCCACAACCACAATTGAACCCAAAATTTATGTTGCTAAGTGAGACATTTATTAAATGAGTTTTGTCCCAATTTACGACCTTTCTTGCCACCATTGTTCAGTTAATTACTTAATTAAGTATTAAGTTAGTAACATAGTTGTTAAGTGAATCTGGTTTCCCCATTGACTTTGCTTGTCAAAAGGCTGCAAAATGTGATCACATAATTCCTGGACACTGCAAGAGTTATAAATATAAGTCAGTTGCCAAGCATCTGAATTTTGATCACGGGGATACTGCAATAGTCATAAGTGTGAAAAATTGTCATATGTTACCTTTTCAGTGTTGTTGTAACTTCAAGCAATCTCTAAATTAACTGTTGTAAGTTAGACTGCAAGTTAGACCTGTACATACAAGTATATGTTATCATGTCTATGGAGATTCTCAGTAATCTAGATCATGGTTGTCCCAAAGGTGCTTTTCTTTTCTTTTCCAAGAGCCTGAAGAAGCTACTTGAATGAGCAGCAAAACGTCTTCAAAGACAAACCAGAAAGTCCAGTTGCTTCTTGAAGGGAAAAAAAGGCACCTCTGGGACATATATGTCAGCATGTGGATGATATTTGAAAAAGTAGAAGCTAATAAGCTTCAATGTGGGAAAAAAACAAGAGGAAAGGGACAGAGGAAAGGGAGGGACGGAGGGAAGGACCTCTGGCTTGTATAAAAGTAACTCTTTATCATTTTCTAGGTGTATAGGGATGAATAGGATAAGTTGGGATTCAAGACCGTAACTAACGCGAGGAATATGGTCAAGATTTGATCAGCTGCGTGTGATGTGGCCCAACACAAGAAATCGGACTACATCATATGCAGCTGATCAAATCAACCCGAAACTAAACCATGACATCTCAGAAGACATACAAACAACACCACCAGCACCAATTTACACAGATGGTACTTAAAATCAATGACTATGACTCAGCAATTACAGTCAGACAATCACATAACCTGAAATCAGACCAGGACTCAGAAAGGTATTTAAAGGCTAGGGCTCCCCCAGACAAGCGCAATCCAAAGCACACTGAAAATGTCTCCTCGAATGGTGATGGACCGTCAAACCAACAACATACTACCAGTCCACCCTACTAATATTCAAAGAAATTTCAAAGGATTATCATACTTATTTATTCTTGATTCTCCAAATGGCCCACCACTTTTTATGCAGTCTTCATTCATTGATCTCAAAAATTTTCTCCTGAATCATATAAATTCAGAGAATATCCCCCCCCCCAAAAAAAAACTCATATCTGGTTATTCCATTCTCACTAATCTCTATTTCATATGCACCTGCAACAATCTTAAAGGCACCCATTCATACTTTGGATCATACATTTTTGCCCTTCCATTAATAATTTCCTATTTACATTCATAGATTTCACTCACTTTACATGTTCATTCAAAAATGTTTCATACTTTTAATGTGTCTTATTTTCTGTCCTCCACCCTTGCTTTCATTTATCAATCGTTGCTGCTCTTTCTTTAAAATGTTTCTTTACAAATATATATACTGGAACTTCACAGAGGGAGAATACTATAGATAGTTTTATGGAGATGCAAAACACCTCATCTGCTTTAAATCTTCTTCCAGATTTTTTTTTCCAAATACTGACCACTGAAATTTATTGATTTATATGCCACCCACTTTCCAAAAATCCAGATGGTTTACATTAACATTTAAGAACACATTTGCATGTAATATTTTCATAGTGATTTGAGAAGAACTTCATATACCTACATTTATTTCTCCCTACTCCTATCCCTGAAGAAATAAACTTCATAAGCTTTTGGAACCATAAACATCACATAAGAACTATAATTCAGTTGGTACGTGTGCACACATGCATTCAAACCAAACTTCTTGATTCCGAGACTCTTAAGTTTTGAACTACTTTTTGATATGTCTAAAGATATCTCCATTTGCCTCTTATTCATTTGTCTGACAGAAACGGTCTTTCACATGTACTCTGTATGAAATAACCCAAACCTAAGTCAATTCATATAGAAGTTTACTGGACATTTGCCCTCCTCACTATGGTGCTTATGCAAGCTGGTAATATAGTCTTCAAAATTGGGAACTGCAAGTACGGAAGAGGCTAAAGTTCATATAGGTGGGGCAACATTCAGTAGCATGAAAATGGATTCCCATTTTCCTCACAGTACATTCTTGGGGAAAGCCTGGCTTTAATAAGCGCTGTCAGCTGTCAATTTCATAAGCAATAAATATCACTGCAGATTGAAAATGATGTTTCTAATACCAAGTGGGAAGCAGGAAAAAAGGGGAGGGGATGAAAACTACAACTCTACTTTTCAGAGAAAATCTCTGAAAGAACTCACTTTCCTGTCCAAGAAGAAGATGCCATCTTGTTTTTATTTATTTTGGAAATGAAATCATCATGCCAGAGGTTTCATTTAAATAATAATAATTAAAATTTCCTGTTATTCCCAATGCAGATTTGTAGTGGGCGTGAAAGATGATTCAGAAGTAACATGTGGTACAGATCTTTTCTTGTGAACCTTGGCATCAATATATAGGAATATGCTCAAGAAATTTAGAAACCAGTAGCTGGTGGTAACAAATTATGTATGTTCCAGTTTGCATCAGAGAGAAATTCTTATTTAGTACTACAGTAAGCTTGTACATATGGTTTCATTCTCAAGGTAAAAATATAACATATCTAGAGAATTGTTATTATGCTTTGATGGTCTTGTAGTATACTATATCCATGCTGATTGTGGAACTGAAGTTCACATATCTTCAAGTTCCTAGTCCGAAGACTGCGAAACACTGGAATAAGCAATACCTGTTTCAACAGTAGAAACTGAAAGAAATCTAGATGTCCTAGTGGGCCATCACTTAAAATTAAGCCAGCAATTGCTGCAGATGCCAAAAAAACCAAGGCAGGCCTAGGATGCATCCAGAACCATGGTGGCACAGTGGTTGGAAAGAAGTATTGCAGATTAATTCTGCTGAATACCAGTGGTTTGATCCTGATTGACTCAAAGTTAACTCAGCCTCTATCCTTCCAAGGTAAGTAAAATGAAGGCCAGACTGAGGGGGAAATATGCTGACTTTATAAACTGCTTAGAGAAGGCTGTAAAGCACTATGAAATGGTATTTAAGTCTAAGTGCTATTCCTAATAGAGGGATAGCATCAAGATCACAAGAAGTAATAATATTAATCTACACTGCACATGATACACCAAAGATGCTGAGAGACTACAAGAAAGCAGAGAAGAGCAACAAAGATGAGAAAGTGTCTGGAGGCTAAACCATATGATAATGGTTAAGGGAACGTCTATCCTATAGAAGAGAAAGTTTATGGGTGACATGTTAGGTGTCTTCCAGAACTAAAAGAGAAGAGAAGAGAGAGGTCAACTTATTCTCCAAAGCACCTCAGGGAAGGACAAGAATGATTATTCTCAAATATGACATTTTGTGTTGAGTTATATTATGCAGACAACAATGATCTACAATATAACAAATTGAAGTTCCATTAAATCAATATATCAGACCTGCAGCCATATTTTTATTGGATCTTTGGCCTGCCACACTTTCTATGATTCTACTATGCATTTTCTATTATGGGAAAATGGGAAGGGGGATTGTATGGAGTTAGATAATAGGTAGCCATAACAAAATTATTTCCAGAAAGCCGAGGTCATCCTTTGTCCTGACCAGAACTGGATGGGTTGAACTGCCAGTATGGCAGTGGAAGATTGGACATATGAAGAACTTGTGGATGTGGGGGCAAGATCTTGAACTTTCAACTGGGTCGGGAAAACCGGGAAGCTTTCAGATTCAGGTTTTCCCAGATCAACATGGCTCTCTTAATAAATTGGAACTTTGAGAAATACTTTGCCTTGGACTCTGATTTACTTTTGTATGATATTTGGAACCCTGACAGAATATACATTTTGAATAAACTTTGTTTTAAGTATTTCTTACATTCTGAAAAGGTATATCTTCATTATCCAGGTGTATACAGGTAGTCCACAGCTTATGACCACAACTGAGCTCAGAATTTATGTTACCAAGTAAGAAATTTGTTAAGTAAGTTTTGTCCCATTTTAAGACTTTTCTTGACACATTTGTTAATTGAATCACCACAGTTGTTAAATTAGTAATATGGTTGTTAAGTAAATCTGGCTGCCTCATTGACGTGATCCTGGAACACTGCAACCGTCATAAATATGAACCAGTTGTCAGGCGTCCGAATGTAAATCACATGACCATGAGAATGCTACAACAGTTATAAGGATGAAAAATGGCCATGTCATTTTTTTCAGTGTCATTTTTTTTCCGGTGCCATCATAATTTCAAATAGTCACTAAAAGAACTGTTGTATGTCGAGGATTAACCGTATTATATTTTAGTATATTAACATATTTTACTGTTCAGTCTTTTTGTAACAAAAAATGTGAGCAGCCATTCTAAGAATACTTACATATCATGCGTTTCTTCCTGATTTTCTCTGGAATGTGTACAAGGTAATTTGGCAAATTTTGGAATGGTGGATTTATCATGATTTGAACCAAACAAGATTTTAGGATTACCAGGCTATCATTTCATAATCTTTCTCACTCATTATCGCCCAACCCCACTTTAAAAGAAGAGGGAGAGGAGAATGGACCAAAAGTATAGCAAAGCAGTTTAACACTTTGTTAAAACAAAAGGAATAATCCCTGTCCCAGTCACTTGCAACCCTACAATCCCACCTTTCTTTGACAATTGAATATTTTTATTTTTAACAAGTAACAGTTTTACATGCTACATCCTGCTAATTCCATAAATCACTAGATTATTTTTACCGTGTGCGCAGCTGCAGAAAGAGGTGTACGCTGAACTGGTGTCCTCCTGTGGCTACGGTTGTCCCACAGCACAATTTGGCCAGAATAGGTTCCTCCAACAACTAGGTTTGGATGAAAGCGGGCAAAACAGACGGACATCACAGAGGACTAGAACAAATGAAAAAGTGTAGAAAATATGGGAAAAAATTAATTTTACATCTCTTTATTTTGTTTTAGTTATGAAAATGATTCAGATTTAATATCTGAGACAAACATTTATTTGATGCTTCATTCATTGAAAAGTTTCAAAACTTTAATAATGGAATGGTATGCTCCCTCCTTTTTAAATTATTGACTTAATGGCACATGTACCCACATCCAAAAAGGGCTATTTAGTTCCCAGCTTGTCTTCTTCTTTGTTAATATCTGTGATAATTTAGCTGTTTGTTGCACCAGACATATATACATTTGTGTCAAAAGATAATAAATAGCAAATTGTTAGTGAATATAAATGGGAGGGAGAAAAGAACTACTTCTACTGAATATTACAGATGTAAAATTAAGTTATGAAAAATATCTATTTAGGATGCTAGATCTTCAATGGCTTAGTCAAACCATCATTGAATTTTGCAAATATCAATAGATGAAGTGCCTGTTGAGTTGACAAAAATTTAAATGACACCTGATATAGGTAAAACCTCAAAGCTATCCATGGTAAAAGTATCTTAGACAGAAGTTTTACTTCATGTGGGCCAGTCCCATGCACTAAAACAATCGGAAAATACCCGATACCCTCATATACCATTACACGTTTCATGTATTAAATAACTATTTAGTATTTTATCATGTACTCAAATGCCAAATAATGTGTCAAAAAAGCAATAGTTAGCATTATTTTCAATGGGTATTTTTTTGTCATACAATGAGTTGTAGAAATACTCAGCAGAGAGTCTTTAAACTTCAGTAGCAGTGTAATCTGCCATCCCATGTTTGCAAATTATAGCAAATCGAAAACCAAAAACCAGATATGAAATATATCTTTTTACACTGAAGTTAGGAGGTACTGTTTTAATCAGATCGTATTTTTAATCACTAATCTTGCATGAAGTGACAGTAAACAGATAATTTCAAATGTAATATCTGCAGTACAGGATATATTTTATTTCCTTTTCTTTCACACAAACACACACACACACAGAGAGAGACAGATAGACAGACATAGACATATAAACTATACTGAAGAAAGTAGCAAGAATTTTTCAACAAATCTAAACCATCTGAGATTTGTGTTGGTAACAGTTCAGGGGAAGGTGACTTCACAGGACTGGTTTTCCCCACCTCTGTGTTAAATGATACAAGACCATATAACATACACAATTTTCTGGTGTACAAAGCTGTTCAGCATTGATCTGATGCACTAAATGTAGAATGGAATATACGAAACCCTGAATAAAATCATGATTTGAAAAGGAGCAAGTACCAGGTAATTATCTGTTGATCTAGCACAACTAGCGCATGGAATTGGCTAACATGAACTGATTGCAATATGAACTTTTGAAAAATAATAGAATTATATACTTTTAAACAGTAATTCATAAGCTTCCCACTGGACTAACATACTAGACCACATGGGATTGGTCTAGAATGAATGCTGCTCTCTGCTTTTTTTACACTGCTATATATCACTGAGTTAGTAGGAACAGATCTGAAGATGCTCATTTTGTACAAGCTGAGGCTGTGCTGTCCTGTTTTTATTTTGGTTAACTAATGCAAAGCAGATTTGGATTAGTAATGGCTCATCTCTTTAACCACAGATGAACACACTCATAACAGATAGCCATTTGCATTATGTTGGATAGGAAGCTGGTCTCAGTGCCCACATCTGACAAACACATGTTGAGTGTGAAGTGGAAGCTTATATCAGTGTTTTCATTTGTAGGGAAGGCTCTCCGCCAAAAAGAAGAGTGCTAAATAAAAATTATACTAATATAAACAAGACTTGGGTTTGTGTTTGCTGAAGTTCTTCAACAATATTGATGTTGTTTCCTGGGTTATTTATTGTGTGATGAAATACTATTTCATTTGAGAATTGTGGAAATAGAAAGAGGTACAGAGAGAATATATTTATCTCCCAAGATTTCTCATTTCCAAATATTGACTTGTGAATTGGAATTGGGTGTTTGTAACATCCTCTCAGAAGAGAAGATATGGCTGAAAGAAAACAAATGGATGGGAAGTACAAAAGACTTCTGACACTGAAGCTTCAACCTGAATGCTTGCCTGAAGAATTGCAAATCTTTTTCTAATCCCTGAACATAGCATCTCCTCTTCCAGTTAGTTCTTTTCTTCCCCTCAACTGTAGTTTGTTCTTTCCCTCCTTTCATTCTAATGAAGGGATCTAGAACTCTCTTAAAAAGAGTAAGTATTTTTTTCTTTTCTTTCTTATAAGGCCCAAAGTAGGTCCACAAACAACCTTCAAAATCATTTGTCAGCCTTGATTTTCTGAGTAGGTGGAAGGGAGGAAAAAAGCTGGACAATTGAAACATATCTAAATGAAGCACATTTCTCAAATCTAGTAAGTTAAGAAATAAGTTATCATTCAAGTTATATTTACCACTGATATTAATTTATAACAATGGAAATTAAGATACCACTAATAAAAGCTGATAGAATAATTGCTGCACATAACTCGTATCTACTGTAAATATATGCACTGAACACACTGAATAAACTAATAAAGGAGACTATTTGTAACTTAGAATTAAAATAAGGGTATTCACTGTGTTTGCTTGTTTTCTTGCAGACGTTTCATTACCCTAACAACATTATCAGTGCTTGTAAGGAGTGCTGTTTGCTGTCAGTATACATTCTGGTCTCTTGTCTGTCTATGTGGCTGGAGCGGTCTTAGGGATTCTTTGGTTGAGCTGAATATAACCTGACAGCAAACAGCACTCCTTACTAGCACTAATGATGTTACTTAGGGTAATGAAATGTCTGTAAAAAAACAAGCAAGCTCAGAGAACACCAAGGACCCCACAATGAATAGATCTCCCTAGAAGTCTGCCTAGCATTTCAAAGTGGGATGATGCTCTATAGAAAAAGTGTTCCACTGTAGCAACATTCGCCTCCATATTAGTTACATTACAAACAAATGTTGGATCAATTTGAAGAACGCTCCTCATTTCCAATTCAAATAGAAAACATTATGTATTAGAATACTACAGGATTTTACAAACATTATGTATTAGAATATCAGTATATCACAGAACTTTAGAAATGACAATTATAGCTCAGATTCTTCAGGTCACGATATATTTTGATTTTTAGCTTATATTTATAGATCCATAAATTCATATGAGATCATTACTTTCCCTCAAACATCTTGTCAGCTATATGAAAAGATAGGATTACAGCTAGATTTGTACATTTCAAAGTATATAGTAAAATATCCTGTGAAATAAATTGTACTGAAAAGTCAATCTTTCTATAATCATCACAAAGAAGACAATTTCATTCAATTCTAAATAGCATCATTACATAACAGAATTGATTGAAGTTTCTTTTTTAAAAAAAGTTTACTATCCATTAGGGAAATACCAAAAGTATTGACAAAAAGAAATACAGCATTTACTTGAGAAAAAAGCATCAACTTTTAAATAGTTAGGGAAGGATATTGTGGATTTTGTAGCTGGAAATTACTTGTGGTTTCAGAGGGAAAAGTGAGATTTTCCCCAATAAAAACAATTCATAGATTTTGAATATATTTTTTTGTATTTGTGTGTGCATATGCAAAAAAATGGGAAATAAAAGAAAAGCAAACACTTCAAACCAAATGTAAAAATCCCATTTAATTAAAAAAAGGAAGTTTAGACTTTCATATGGCATGTGTTGACATCTATTCCTTTGATTTACAAGGATATGGACTGGAGGGAGCAGATTGCTTTATTCAAGAAAAATAATATGGGAAAGCAGGGCAATTTGACAGGAAAGAGTGTAGGCTGCCTTAACTTTAGTGCTTGTTAAAACATGAAGGATTAATGGTAAAAAGGGAGGGATGAATTGTGAATGTCTCCAGTAGAGGATCTTCAAAAATGTTTGGGGTTTCTAAGAATGTCTTATGCAACCACATGAAAAGAAAGCCAGCCATACAGCTCTCTAAATCCAAAACTGGTATAGCTCTACTCCTACCATCAAACCAACTGACTTGAAATAGAGCCACAAATTGAATTTATTTTTATTGAAAAAGTATTAAGTCCCTGAAAGAAAGAGAATGGTGCATCAGGAAATTCAGACAATTCAGAGCAACATTCATAATGCAGGTATGCAGACATGCTGCGATTCAAAGATTTGCCAATGTCTGCCTTTCCTAAAGAATTAGAATTCTAATTATTTGTTCACATGAAGCTTTCCAAAGTGGGCTACCTGCATTATAAAGAAAGGAAAGAACAAATTTATCAAATATGTTACATTAAATTGCAGAGCTCTAAGTGGATAATTTCTTACAATGGTAAAAAAGATTGGAAGACTGAAATTTAGAATACATAAGAGTAATTTTGAAAATGGACAGGTCATTATTATAAAGAGTAGCCCAATACATTGACTCTCTGTACTACCATATTGCTCTTAGGTGCAGGAGCTCTTTTCATATTACAAATGTACTCTTACTTCGCTGCAGACTACCCTCATCACATCTGAAGGAAATAGGCAAAGGGGGAGGCTGGGTTAGTTATGTATTGCGTTCTCCATTTCTTTGTTGCTATTCTTTGACAACTCTGGCATCTAATTCTGAGGTGACTACTCCATAGCTGATAGGACCTGACCAATCAGCAACATTTTTGGGGGTCACAGACTGGTTAGAGTACACCATCAGACATATCTTCCTTGCCAAATTGTTGCAGTCTGCCATTAAGTTAGTTACCTACCATTTATAAACTTCAAGCATATTAAGAGCTTAACAAGACTTGGAATATGGATCTTTCATTTCTGTCTCATTCATAATTATATTCTTGGATATAGACCCAAGTTTCATTTTGTAAGTGCAGACTCATATATAAGTCCAGTAAATAAACAAATCAATTTTTAGCAAGAAGTAAAGTGAACTATAGAACCAAAAAGTGTAACTTTAGGATTACATTAGATTCCAGTTTTGTTTTTACTTGTCGTAATGA